CAGTTCAGTACAAGAGGGTAGGAGGGCCTGATCCTGGGAGCTTACAATCTAAGAGGTATGTGAAAGACCAGGATGTACTAGACCGCTGGTGCTCGCCAGTTCACCAAAAGGTAGCGCAGCACTAATACTGGCACTCTGCTGCATATGAGAGTCATCAAAATTTACCGGCAAGTGCTAACAGAGATCAGGCCTGATTCTGCGAACACTGCGGTTTTGTGTGACCTACTGACACTGCACTTGCTGGGGGGAGAGGGGGGGCTAAACGCAGGTGCTGGCAGGGGCTGATCCCGCTAACTCTGCGTTTTTGGGGATGCTATACTGATGTGAACGCTGGTATAGTGCTGATCTGATCAAAGATATTGATCCATTCAGACACTATAGTAGCAATGGAGGTTTATTGTTTATGAGCGTGTTCCTGGCAATCAAGGGGTTAAATGTGATGACCGGTGTACTGACGGGCAATCTGACGCTATCTGGGAGGGGCGTGTAAACCACGGGAGCGCGAATCACGTATATATATGTAATTTTGCGCACCTGTGCCGCCTTGTAGCAGTATTTCTGCTATAGGGCGGTCGGGAAGCGGTTTGTGTTATAGCTCTGCGCTACTTTAACTGACAATTGTGTGGTCGTGCAACGCTGCACCGAAATGAAATTTACATCTTTTTTTCCCCACAAATTGAGCTTTCTTTCAGTGTTATTTGATTGCCTGTGCGTTTTTTTTATTTTTTGCGCTATAAAAAAATAATATTTTGGACTTTTTGCTATAAAGCATGTTCAGTAAAAAAATGTAAAAATCAAATTTTATCATAAATTTTGGTTAAAATTAGAGATGAGCGAATCAAACCTGGCGAAGTGGAATTCGTTTCGAATATCAGGAAAAATTCGATTCGCATCGAATCCGAATTTTAGCAAACTTCGGGTGCACGAATCAAATTTTTCCCGATCAGCTGGCAAAAGTGTCACTGCAGAGAGCTCCGCTATTTCTGACAGTTCTGACAGTTCATTTACAGCGGTTGAAACATTGTATCTATTTGTTTCCATTTAGGATACAGATGTTTTTATTCGGAAATAAATAGATACAATGTTTCAACCGCTGTAAATGTGAAGGAACTGTCAGAGAACTGTCAGAAATAGCGGAGCTCTCTGCAGATAGACTTTTTGCTGTACTGGAATACTTCTTCTTTTCATTCTTCTTCTTCTTTTCATTCTTCTTCTTCTTCTTTCGATCTTCTTTTCATTCTTCTTCTTCTTCTTTTCATTCTTCTTCTTTTCATTCTTCTTCTTCTTCTTTTCATTCTTCTTCTTTTCATTCTTCTTTTCATTCTTCTTCTTTTCATTTTCATTCTCTTCTTCTTCTTTTCATTCTTCTTCTTCTTCTTTTCATTCTTCTTTTCATTCTTCTCATTCTTTTTTATTCTTCTTCTTCTTTTCATTCTTCTTCTTTTCATTCTTCTTCTTTTCATTCTTCTTTTCATTTTCTTCTTCTTTTCATTCTTCTTCTTCTTCTTCTTTTCATTCTTCTTTTCATTCTTCTTCTTTTCATTCTTCTTCTTCTTCTTTTCATTCTTCTTCTTCTTCTTTTCATTCTTCTTTTCATTTTCATTCTTCTTCTTTTCATTCTTCTTCTTTTCATTCTTCTTTTCATTCTTCTTCTTTTCATTCTTCTTTTCATTCTTCTTTTCATTCTTCTCATTCTTCATTCTTCTTCTTTTCTTCTTTTCATTCTTCTTTTCATTCTTCTTTTCTTCTTCATTCTTCATTCTTCTTTTCATTCTTCTTTTCATTCTTCTTTTCATTCTTCTTTCATTCTTCTTTTTCTTTTCATTCTTCTTTTCATTCTTTCTTCTTCTTTTTCATTCTTCTTTTCATTCTTCTTCTTCTTCTTTTCATTCTTCTTCTTTTCATTCTTCTTTTCATTCTTCTTTTCATTCTTCTTCTTCTTCTTTTCATTCTTCTTCTTCTTCTTCTTCTTTTTCATTCTTCTTTTCATTCTTTTCTTCTTCTTTTCATTCTTCTTTTCATTCTTCTTCTTCTTTTCATTCTTCTTCTTCATTCTTCTTCTTCTTCTCATTTTCATTCTTCTTCTTCTTTTCATTCTTCTTCTTCTTCTTTTCATTCTTCTTCTTCTTCTTTTCTTCTTCTTTTCATTCTTCTTCTTTTCATTCTTCTTTTCATTCTTCTTCTTCTTCTTTTCATTCTTTTTCTTTTCTTCTTTTCTTCTTCTTCTTCTTCTTCTTTTCATCTTCTTCTTCATTTTTCATTCTTCTTTTCTTCTTCTTCTTCTTCTTTTCATTCTTCTTTTCATTCTTTTCATTCTTCTTTTCATTCTTCTTCTTTTCATTCTTCTTCTTCTTCTTCTTTTCATTCTTCTTCTTCTTTTCATTCTTCTTTTCATTTTTTCTTCTTCTTTTCATTCTTTCTTCTTTTCTTCTTCTTCTTCTTCTTTTCATTCTTCTTCTTTTCATTCTTCTTTTCATTTCTTCTTCTTCTTTTCATTCTTCTTCTTCTTTCTTTTCATTCTTTTTTCATTCTTCTTCTTTTCATTCTTCTTCTTTTCTTCTTTTCATTCTTCTTTTCATTCTTCTCATTCTTCTTTTCATTCTTCTTCTTTTCATTCTTCTTCTTCTTCTTTTCATTCTTTCATTCTTCATTCATTCTTCTTTTCATTCTTCTTCTTCTTCTTTCATTCTTCTTTTCATTTCTTTTCATTCTTCTTCTTCATTCTTCTTTTCATTCTTCTCATTCTTCTTTTCATTCATTCTTCTTTTTTCTTTCTTCTTCTTCTTTTCATTCTTCTTCTTCTTTTCATTCTTCTTTTCATTCTTCTTCTTCTTCTTTTCTTCTTCTTCTTCTTTTCATTCTTCTTTTCATTCTTCTTCTTTTCTTTTCATTCTTCTTCTTCTTCTTTTCATTCTTCTTCTTTTCATTCTTCTTTTCATTCTTCTTCATTCTTCTTTTCATTCTTCTTCTTTTCATTCTTCTTTTCATTCTTCTTCTTCTTCTTTTCATTCTTCTTCTTCTTTTCATTCTTCTTTTCATTCTTCTTTTCATTCTTCTTTTCATTCTTCTTCTTTTCTTTTCATTCTTCTTTTCATTCTTCTTTTCATTCTTCTTCTTCTTTTCTTCTTCTTTTTTTCTTCTTTTCATTCTTCTTCTTCTTTTCATTCTTCTTTTCTTCTTTTCTTCTTCTTTTCATTCTTCTTTTCATTCTTCTTCTTTTCATTCTTCTCATTCTTCTTTTCATTCTTCTTTTCATTCTTCTTCTCATTCTTCTTTTCATTCTTCTTCTTCTTCTTTTCTTCTTTTCATTCTTCTTTTCATTCATTCTTCTTTTCATTCTTTTCATTCTTCTTTTCATTCTTCTTTTCTTCTTCTTCTTCTTCTTCTTCTTCTTCTTCTTCATTCTTCTTTTCATTCTTCTTCTTCATTCTTCTTCTTTTTTCATTCTTCTTCTTCTTTTCATTCTTCTTCTTCTTCTTTTTCTTCATTTTTCATTCTTCTTTTCATTCTTCTTTTCATTCTTCTTCTTCTTCTTTTCATTCTTCTTCTTCTTCTTTTCATTCTTCTTTTCATTCTTCTTCTTCTTCTTTTCATTCTTCTTTTCATTCTTCTCATTCTTCTTTTCATTCTTCTCATTCTTCTTTTCATTCTTCTTCTTCTTCTTTTCATTCTTCTTTTCATTCTTCTTCTTCTTCTTCTTTTCTTCTTCTTCTTCTTCTTCATTCTTCTTTTCATTCTTCTTCTTCTTCTTTTCATTCTTCTTCTTCTTCTTCTTCTTCTTCTTCTTCTTCTTCGTCGTGCCCCGTGACTGCCCAAATGAGTGAAGTGTGCGGTGATTCTAAGATCGACGGCACTCATCTGCATGTCATACTGACTGACAGTATTATTTCTCTTCCCCAGCAGACTCCAAGGGCATTTAAATTAAAGGTACAGTGTTCTGCACTAATATAAAGGCTCTCTGAAGCCTAGAAACCCTTTTAATAAGTTAAATTCGCGGCGAATAAATTCGCATCGAATCGAATTTCTCCCGCAAATTCGGCGAATCAGCCGAATCGAATTTTTGAATAATTCGCTCATCTCTAGTTAAAATGTATTCTGCGACATGTCTTTGCTAAACAAAAAAAGCCCCAATATGTGTAAATTAATTGGTTTACGTGAAAGTTATAGCGTTTACAAATGGCGGTATATATACTGGAATTTTAATTTTTTTTTATACTAATAATGGCAGCGATCAGCGGCTTATGGCGGCATTCAGTGACTTATGGCGGGACTACGGTGGACATTCTGACACTGGGGGGAACTGACTTGGGGTCACTGACATCCCCAGTGACACCAATACAGTGATCAGTGCAAAAAAAAACTACTGACACTGTACTAAAGGCATTGGGGAGGAAGGGGTTAACATTTTTAGGCAATCAAAGGGTTAACTGTGTGAGGGGAGTGTTTTACTAGTGGGCGGGGGTGTGTTCTTCAGAGGAACACACTGTCCCGGAAAGCTAAGCTCTGCTCTCCTGAACACTGTGCTGGAAACTGACAGGGAGCAGAGGTGCATTGAAAACAATGCAGCTGTGCTCTGTTTCAGTGTTTGCCGGCAATCGCCAGGAACCAGCGGGTAATGACCGGCCGGGACCCGGTGATTGACACCCGCGATCGGCTGATATGCAAAATCACGTATATATACGTGATTTTGCGCAGCGGTGCTGCCCTGCCGCAGTATATGTACTGTGGCTGGTCAGCAACCGGTTAAAGTCACAGTAAACATGGAGTTAGGCTTTAATGAAATTACAAAAATATGTCTATTCATACAATGTAGGCACCAACGAGCATTTTTTTGCAGAGCAGAAAACATGTTCTTCAACTAACAATAATAGAAAGGACACCTAAAAGTTGGCAGCACATGCTATACAGTATGTTTAGGCAGTTTTGCTACCTGTTTTTTGAGAATTGTGTAGCCCTTTTTTATCGGTAATTATATTTCATACATTTGTCTTTTTTTATAGGCTCCACTCGCATATTGTATGAAAAGAAACTTGTTGAGTTTGAACGCAAGAAAAATACATACCCAAGCTCTGCTGGTAAGGAAAAGAACTAAAATCAAAAATTTGTTTTGTTTTGTTATTTTTTTTAGTTTTTAATGGCGTAGGACTAAAGAAGAGAGGGACCTTCCAGCTTGTTATCAGCACTCAGTTCAAAAGCCAGCATCTCTGATGGCATGGGGGTGCATTAGTGCTTATGGAATGGGCAGCTTGCACATTTGGAAAGGTATCATCAATTCTGAAAGATATATCCAGATTTTAGAGCAGCATACAGTGGGTATAGAAAAGTATCATCCCCCTTCAAGATTATTACATTTTGTTGCTTCGCAGCATGAAATGAAGACAGACATTTTATCCAGCTGTATCTACTCAGTGCAACTTATAACATTCAAAGTGAAAGGTATAGCACCAACATGTATGAAAGAATTACATAAAACATTCAAAAACAGAATCACTGAGTTGGAAAAAGGATCACCCCCTGGTGTCAGTATTTTGTTGAGCCACCGTTTGCTTTAATTACAGCCTTTAGTCTGTTAGGATATGTTTCTACTAACTTTGCAGTATTTGTGTGCAAGTGACAACACTAACAAATTCTCCACAAATATGGCTTGTATGGGAGGGGTGCAAGAAAAAAGCTGCTACTCAAGAAAGGCCACAAGCAGTCACCACTGAACTTTGCCAAAACGCACCTTGAAGATTGTGGGGCCACATGGAAAAAAGGGGTTGTGGTCAGATGAGACTAAAATTTAATTCTTTGGCCTCAACATTAAACGATATGTCTGGAATGCTGAATTAAGCCCAAAATACATCACCTCTAGGATATATAAAATCCTTGTGGACGTAGATGATGTAGAACCCCCTGGATATTTATGTAAATGGAAAAAGGGAATTAGGAATAAAAATCAACAAAGGGAAGGTATTTTTAACCTAACACACAAGGTAATAAACATGAACACAGTAGAGATGAACTACAAATGCTTGGCGAGATGGTATTTAACACCCAGTATAACCTATAAGCAGCAAGGGGAAAGCTCTCCATGGTGCTGGAGAGGATGTGGAGAAAAGGGCAATATGGAGCACATCTGGTGGAGTTGCCCGTTGATACAGGTTTAATGGAGGGAAATAGCGTATTATATCAAGGAAATATGTGGGGTAGATATTCAAGGGGACCCAACGAAATGCTTATTCTACTATTCTGAGCCCATGGCGGAAGTAAATAGGAATAAAGTATTGTACTATTTAACCACTTGAGCTCCAGAGGATTTACCCCCCTTAATGACCAGGCCTCTTTTTGCTACTCGGCGCTGCACTAATTCAACTGATAATTGCGCGGTCATGCAATGCTGCACCCAAACGAAATTTACGTCCTTTTTTTCCCACAAATAGAGCTTTCTTTCGGTGTAATTTGATCACCTGTGCACTTTTTATTTTTCACGCTATAAACAAAAAAAGGCCAAAAATTTTGAAGAAAAACAATATTTTTTATTTTCAGCTATAAAAAATATATAGTAAACTCAAAGTTGGTTATAAATTTAGGCCAAAATGTATTCTGCTCCATGTTTTTGGTAAAAAAAATCCCATTAAGTGTATATTGATTGCTTTGTGTGGAAGTTATAGCGTCTACAAACTATGGTATAAATACTGCAATTTACGCCATTTTTTTGCTATACAGCGCTGCGCTAGTTTAACGGACAATTGCGCGGTCATGCAATATGTTACATAAATGAAATTTACATCCTTTTTTCCCCACAAATTGAGCTTTCTTTCGGTGGTATTTGATTGCCTGTGCGATTTTTATTTTTTGCGCTATAAAAAAAAAGGCTGACAATTTTGAGGAAAAAAAAAACAATATTTTGGACTTTTTGCTATAAAACATGTCCAGTAAAAAAAAAAATGCAAAAATCAAATTTAGTCATAAATTTCTGCCAAAATGCATTCTGCGACATGTCTTTGCTAAAAAAAAAAACCCAATACATGTAAATTAATTGGTTTACGTGAAAGTTATAGCGTTTACAAATGGCGGGAAAGATAGTGGGATTTTTAGGTTTTTTTTTATACTAATAATGGCGGCGATCAGTGAATTATGGCGGCGATCAGGGACTTATGGCAGGGACCAGCGACTTATGGCGGGACTGCGGCGGACATTTTGACATTGGGGGGTACTGACTTGGGATCACTGACATCCCCAAAAACAGTAATACAGTGATCAGTGCAAAAAAAAAAAAACTGACACTGTACTAATGGCAATGGGGAGGAAGGGGGTTAACTTTATTTTGCAGGGAAGGGTTATAGGAGTGAGGGGGAGTGTTTTACTAGGGGGCGGGGGTGTGTACTGGGCGGGACAAGGCTGATCGAGAAAGAGAAACTGTTCTTTCTCGATCAGCTCATCCTCGAGCTGAGAAGGAAGTGACAGACAGCACAGCTACTGCAGCTGTGCTCTCTGTCACTGTTTGCCGCCGATCGCCGGGACATAGCCGCTAAGGAGCTGACATCTGCGGTGGTGATCCGCGGGACAAATAGGGCGGTGGCGCGCCTCACGCGCGCCCCCTATTTGTTTACAAAACACACGTCTTAAAACGTGGCTTTGCCTGTGAGTGCCGCCCTGCCGCCGTATATGTACAGTGGCTGGGCGGCATGCGGTTAATCAGTGCAGCAAAGGGTTTGATACCAAAATTTTGGTTAGTGGCAGAGGTTCTGAGGGTGGTGGATTGGATAGATAGAATGGAAGGCATTTTCAGAATGGAAGAACTGAGAAGTTTAAAAGAGGATAAGATGGGAATATATAAAAGAATATGGAGTGTTTGGTTAAATTTTAAAACCGCAGAATCTTATACAGAACTAATTAAAGTAAAGGAGGTAGCCTAAGAAATCACGATGAGATTGGTCAGAATAACAAGTTATGGAGAAATGGATACAGATAGAGAAAGATAAGACAATGATGGGGGGATGGGTGGGGGGTGGGAGATGGAGGGGTTATAGAATGTATTTATTCATTTAGGGGAGAAAAGAAAAAAGTATATTTTGGAAGATGGAATGTTTTAATGTTGTTTGTATAAGTATGAAATAAAAAGTTAAAAAAAAAACGATATGTCTGGTGGAAATCCAATCCAGCTCACCATCCAAATAACACCATTCTTACAGTAAAGCATGAAAGGTGTAAATATCCTGTTATGGGGGGGTTTCTCTGCAGCAGGGGCTGGAACACTTGTCAGGATAGAAGGAAAAATGGATGGGGCAAAATACTGTCACATTCTTGAGGAAAATCTGCTGCTCTCTGCCAGAAAGATGTCAATGGGAAGAAGGTTTACCTTCCAACGTGACAATGACCGAAAGCACACAGGAAAAATGAGCAGTGGTTGAAGGAGAAAAATGTGAATGTTTTTGCATGGTCTAGTCAGAGCCCAGACTAAAACCCCATTGAAAATCTGTGGAATGACTTGAAGACTGCAGTTCACAAACAGTCACCATCAAATATAACTGAACTTGAAAAGCAGTTCTGCAAAGGAGAGCCGGCAAATATTAAAAAGTCCAGATGTGCAAAGTTAGTAGAGACAAATCCCAACAGGACTGAAGGCTGGAATTAAAGCAAAAGGTGGTTCAACAAAATACTGACACAAGGGGGGATCCTTTTAACAACTCAGTTATTCTGTTTTTGATTTTTGTTTTATTTTTTTCTGATATGTTGGTGTTATAGCTTTCACTTGGATATTATAAGTTGCACAGAGTAAATACAGCTGCAGAATACCCCACTGTATGTTCAGGCAAGAAGGATGCTATACTGTGGTAAACACGGCCCTGTCCCATCTTTGAGACGTGTTGCTGCCATCAATAATTTCCTTAAAATGGTACATTTTCATAGTTTAAACATTTGATAGGTTTTCTATTGTGAATAAATTATGGGTTTATGAGATTTGCAAGTCATTGCATTGTAAATTTTACACAGCGTCCCAACTTTTTTGGAATTAAGAATGTGTAATATATTAAAACTCTTGTTTTATTTAGTACTGGAATTTGGATTCTTTGGGTATTGCAGACAGTTTTATTGCCTCAAGTTTCTATATGCCCGTTGTTGAAATCTATTGTATTAGTGATTTTTGTATTTTTTTTTTTATCCAGAATCTTCATACGAAAGCAGACAACAATATAGTACAAGAGAATATGATGACAACCAGGGTAAGATTTTATTTTTGTTCATTTGGTTAAATAATTGTAGAATACAATTGCCAAAAATGTTTACTGCACCACAACTCAGGTGCCATAGATAGGACAGTAGGAATGATCTTGTTTACCTATTCAGTTTCAGGGAGCCCTAGATGGGTCGTGTAAGCTAGTCATTAATTACAGGGCCTTGAAAAAAGTATTCATACCCCTTACAATTTTCCACATTTTGTCATGTTACAACCAAAAACGTAAAAAAAGTGCCACAGAATTGTGAAGTGGAAGAAAGATGATAAATGGTTTTCAAAATTTATTACAAAGAAATATCTGAAAAGTGTGGCGTGCATTTGTATTTTCTGTTGGATTCAAGTCAGGTGATTGGCTGGGCCATTATAGCAGCTCTATTTTCTTTCTTTAAAACCAATTCAGAGAGTTTCCTTGGCTTTGTGTTTGGGATCATTGTCTTGCTGAAATGTCAACAATCGTTTCATCTTCATCCTAGTAGATGGCAGCAGATTTTTATCAAGAATGTCTTGGTACATTTTTCCATTTATCCTTCCTTCAATGAGATGAAGTTTGCCAGTACTGTATGCTGAAAAACAGCCCCCACACCATGATGTTCCAACCGCCAAACTTCACTGTTAGTATGGTGTTTTTGGGGTGATGTGCAGTGCCATTTGACCTCCAAACATGGTATGTATTATGGTATTGAAAGAGTTCAATTTTGGCCTCATCTGACCAGACTGTATTCTCCCAGTATTTCACAGCCTTGTCTAAATGTTGTGCAGCAAACTTTAAATGAGCTTCAGCATGCCTTTTCTTCAGCAATGGAGTCTTGTGTGGAGATTGTGCATACAGGCCATGACGGATGAGTGCATTACTTATTGTTTTCTTTGAAACAATTGTACCTGCTAATTCCAGGTTTTTCTGAAGCTCTCCACTAGTGGTCCTTGACTCTTGGACAACTCTTCTGATAATTATTTTCGCTCCTCTCTCAGAAATCTTGTGAGGAGCACCTGGTCGTGGCCGGGTTATGGTGAAATGATGTTCTTTCCACTTCCAGATTATGGCCCCAACAGCACTCACTGGAGCATTTAGATGATTAGAAATCCTTCTGTAACCAATGCCATCAGTATGTTTTGCAATAATAAGGTTGCAAAAGTCTTAAGAGAGCTCTTAGCTTTTACCCATCATGAAATGTTTCTTGTGTGACACCTTGGTAATGAGACAACTTTTTATAAGCCAACAGTTGAGATTTAATCAGCTGGTATTCATTTGCACTGACAAGGGGCAGGATTGCTTTCTAATTACTGATAGATTTCAGCTGGTGTCTTGGCTTTCCATGACTTTTTGCACCTCACTTTCTTCATGTGTTCAATACTTTTTCCCTGTGTCATTCCATTTTTATTACACATAACAATTTCTGAACGTATTTGTTTTGGTTTCTTTGTATGTATGGATTGCATATGACGTTATGGACACGTGGTGAAAATTTCATGAGTAGCACCTTTAGAAATATATTTACCTAGAAAAATGGTGACGTGTTCAATACTTATTTTATCCTCTGTATAAAAGATACAAATTCATTTAGACTTCTATTCATTAAAACAATAGGAATTGTATTTTTTAAATCCAAGCAGTGTAAGTACTTGAACTTGACTTGGTATATCAGCTTCTTGCACTTCCTGTATAACAGAACGGGGGGGGGGGGGGCTGCACAAGGAGTCAATCTGCTGTACTGCAGTACTCATGTGCTAAGAAGGAACATGCTGATAGAAGGAAAGAGCAGAAAGTGAGTCCCATCAGTCTCCTGCTCTTCCTTTCATTGTCAAGACACAAGCTGGGGAGGTACAAGACCTGTAATTACAGCAATAGTCCAAAAAGACATGGATTACGTCATGCCATGAAAGCTGATTCTACTAAAATGGCATAGTGGATATCGCAGCCTGTGGCCACTCCCCACTAATGCATTTCACTCCTGTTGGGTTTAACCAATTGACCTCCGTAAGATTTGACCTCCTTCATGACCAGAGCATTTTTTGCTATTCAGCATTGTGTTACTTTAACTGGCAATTGGTTGGTCATGCAAATGAAATGTATCTAATTTTTTTTTTTCACACAAATAGAGCTTTCTTTTGGTGGTATTTGAACACCACTGGGTTTTTTATTTTTTATTATATAAATGAAAAAAGGCTGTTCATTTTTAAAAATTGGGTGGAGCTACGTCCTCTGATGTCATCACGCGATTTGCCGCTGCCATTTTGTCAGTTGGAAACAATAAGCAAACCCATATGCTTTTACTACTGTTGGTTTGTAATTACATTTCTTCTATTAAACATTGCTTTTTCTTAATACTATGCCATGAGGAGCCTTTGTTTCTCTTTTACATGCACCTTAACACCCTGAGTTGGTCTAACGAAGTATAACCTTACGTTATTGACTGAGGAGTCATCTTTTGGTGGAGAAGCCAAATGGTTCCATATTTTCTTTCTCATGTTGGCAAAACCACTATTTTGAAGTACAACCTTTTATGGTGCGAGCTGTGGAGGTGCCGTCAGGTGGAGACGTTTTTTTGGTCCTACTCTTCCATGTGATTGATCATAAACGCTGTGTAGGACCTCATGACCTGTGGTCTTGCTCTCTGGTAAGAGGCTGTGTATGGTGTTGGTGGAGGATCTTTACTGTTTGTGACAACTCCTCACCTTTTTCCCAAATGTGATATATAAAGGACTTTACTATTACCTTAAGGACTTTTTTGTTTTTAATATTTTCCTTTATCTGTATTATTTATGTCAATTATGAGAGATTAAGCACTACATTTTGTATAGTTTTTTTAATCTTAGAAAAATAAACTATTTTCTACATTCTGTTATGAAACATATCCAATAAAATCAAAAAATCTAAGTTTAGGCCAAACTGTATTCTGCTACGTCTTCGGTAGAAGACAAAAAAATCCCAATAAGTGTATGATAATTGGTTTGTATGAAAGGTATAGCATCTACAAACTATAGTATATATACTGGAATTTATGCAGCCATAACCCTATACTAGTAATGGCAGTGATTAGCGACTTATAGTGGGACTGCAATAGTGTGGCGGGCAATCTGCTGCTAACAGACCCTCGCTGGGAGGTACTGATTAACATCAATAGTGACACTAATACAGTGATCAGATATGATACTGTACACTGTATTAGTCACTTCAATACCAGGCACTTTCACCCCCTTCCTGCCCAGGCCAATTTTCAACTGTCATATCTTGAATGTCATGCATGCAACAGTTTCCAAATTATTATTTTTTTTTTTTTTTTTTAAACAGACAGAGCTTTCTTTTGGTGGCATTTATTCCCCACTGGGGCTTTTATTTTTTGCTAAATAAAACAAAAATAGATTGAACATTTTGATAAACTAAACATTTTTCTTAGTTTCTGTTATAAAATTTTGCAAGTAATTTTTCTTCACTGATGTGCGCCGATGAGGCTATACTGACAGTTACTGATGAGGCTGCATTGATGATGATCAGGGCACTGATTATCAGTGTACACATTTATTAGGCAAGTGAGTATTTTTACCTAATCATCATTTTATGCATATTGTCCAACTGCAAGCTCTATAAACCTGAATGCTAATTGGATTTAAGCTTATCAGGTGATGTGTATTGATGAAGGGTGTGGCCTAAGGAAATCAACACCCTATATCAAGGTTTGCATAATTGTTAAGGCAGCTTCTTTTCCCCAGGCAAAATGGGCCAAAAACGAGATTTAACTGACTCTGAAAAGTCAAAATAGTAAAAAGTCTTTCTTAGGGATGCAGTACTCTTGAAATTGCTAAGATATTGGGGCGTGATCACAAAACCATCAAAAGTTTTGTTGTAAATAGTCAATGGATGCAAGAAACGTGTTGTGAAAAAAAAAAAGCAGCAAATTACCTGCCAAAGATTTGAGAAGAATCAAATGTGAAATTACCAGGAACCCATTATCCTCCAGTGCTGTCATATTCTAGAACTGCAACCTACCTGGAGTGCCCAGAAGTATGAGGTGTTCAGTGCTCAGAGACATGGCCAAGGTAAGGAAGGCTGAAACCCGACCACCACTGAACAAGACACACAAGTTGAAACGTCAAGACTGGGCCAAGAAATATCTGAAGACAAATTTTCTATGGTTTTATGGACTGATGAGATGAGTGACTCTTGATGGACTAAATGGATGGGCCCGTGGCTGGATCATTAACGGGCACAGAGCTCTACTTCAACTCAGACGCCAACAAGGTGGAGGTGGGGTACTGGTATGGGCTGGTATTATTATGAGCTAGTTGGAACTTTACAGGTTGAAGATGGACTCAAAATCAACTCCCAAACGTACTGCCAGTTTTTAGAAGACATTTTCTTCAAGCAGTGGTTTGGGAAAAAGTCTACATCTTTCAAGAAGACTATGATATTTATACAGGACAATCCTCCATCGCATGCATCGAAGTACTCCACTGTGTGGCTAGGCAGTAAATTCCTTAAAGATGAAAGAATAATGACATGACCCCCTTCCTCATCTGACCTAAACTCTATGGAGAACTTATGGGTCCTTCCTAAACGGGAGATTTACAGTGAAGGAAAACAGTACACCTCTTTGAACAGTGTCTGGGAGGCTGTGGTTGCTGCTGCACAAAAAGTTGATAGTCAACAGATCAAGAAACTAACAATCCATGAATGGAAGGCTTATGACTGTTACTGAAAAGAAGGGTGGCTATATTGGTCACTGATTTGTTTTTGTTTTTTAATTGTCAGAAATGTTTATTTGTAAATTTTGAGTTGTTTATTATTCTCACTTTAACAGATGAAAAAAAAAAAAAGTGAGATGGAAAACATTTAATTTGTTACGTAGTTGTAGAATAATTGTGCACACTAATAGCTGCCCAATAATTGTGCACACAGATATTCTTAGAATGCCAAAGCCTCACTTTTACTTTTTTTTTAAAAAATTAATGTTTGAGGTTTAATAACATTTTGAATTGACCAAGAGCAAA